CTAGCACTCTACCACTTGAGCCACAGCACCACTTCCAGCTTTTTGTTTATGTGGTACTGAATGATGGGAATCTTCTTTGTTCTCGTAACTCCATGTTGCTCCCCTTTCTTTTTGGTTTGTTTTTTTGGGTCCAGTCATGAGGCCTGAACTCTGGGCCTGGGCACTGTCCCTCAGCTCTTCAGCTCAAGGCTAGTGCTCTACCACTTGAGCCACAGCACCACTTCCGGCTTTTTTCTTTTTGCTTATGTGGTGCTAAGGAATCAAACCCAGGGCCTCATGCATGCAAGGCAAGCGCTCTACCACTGAGCCACCTTCCCAGCCCCCATCCCATTCTTTTTATGTACCCAAAGACTCTTATATGAAGGACTCGTCTCTCTCCTCTTGGCCCATTTTTCCTATGTATCCATAGATGGAATATGAAGGATTGAACCACACTGTGTTTTCCCAGGTGCACACAGATACTACGCAAGCCACCAAAGACAGGTGCTCAGGCTGTAAACATTCCCTGGTGAGCGTAGCCCATAAGGCTTTCAGGCCAGGCCGTAAGGCCAGGAAAGGGTTAAGAGGTTGGAAACTAAACACTATCCTGTGAAGGTCAAATGGTCTAGGCAACACAGATGTAGAGCTGACTGAACATTAAAAGTCTGCAACCTTGGATAAGGGGAATACTATACTTACCTATTCTCTGCCAACACCTGCAGTTACCCCCTCCCCATACTAAACTCATGCAAACCCTGTTATCTGGGTACAGAGGGCTCTGTCCTTCCTTCCTTCTGAACACAAACCACCTCTTCTGCCACTATTTTGCCAAGGATAGAATATAAGCAGACGGGTCTGGCTATGTGGCCCAAGTTCACTCAGCTTTAGGGTGCAAAAAGAACTTAAACCTGTTCTCTGGCTCACCTTCAACACAAGTAAAACTGGATTTTTTTTGGGGGGGGGGTCTGGTCATGAGGCCTGAACTCTGGGCCTGGGCGTTGTCCCTCAGCTCTTCAGCTCAAGGCTGGTGCTCTACCATTTGAGCCACAGTGCTACTTCCAACTTTTTTTCTTATGTGGTGCTGAGGAATCGAACCTAAGGCCTCATGCATGCAAGGCAAGCACTCTACCACTGAGCCACCTTCCCAGCCCTTAAACTGGAATTTTAAATCTCAACATTTCCTTAACCCTGGGGCCTGCTAGCCCCGCCCACCTGCAGAGCAGCCCCTGACCCCGCCCACTGCTCTACACCCTCCTCCCAGGTCTTCTGCTGCCACTCACCCAGGCCACCAGCAGTCCTGCCAAGCTGATCACTGGCTCCTACACCTTCCATACATACAGCCTTCCTCCACAGAGGGGCAGGAAGGCTCCTATGAGCATCCCCATGAGCCAAACATAGTCTCTGCGGTGCTCAAGAACGCGAAGGCTAGCCGAGCACTGGTGGCTCACACCTGTCATCCTAGCTACTCAGGGGGCTGAGATCTGAGGATCACGGTTCAAAGCCAGCCCAGGCAGGAAAGTCCCCATGAGCCTCTCAGCTCCAATAAATTATTCAGAAAAAGCTGGAAATAGCATTGTGGCTCAAGTAGTAGAGTGCTAGCCTTGAGCACAAAGAGACTCAGGGACAGTGCCCCAGGACCAGCAAAAACTAAACAATAAAGACCTCCATGGAACCACACATTCTGTACCATCTATTTACCACCTCCTCACCCTCAGCTCCCCAACTCTCCCTCTTGCTTTCACTCTGGTCCCCAGGCCCCACACCCCAAGAGCTTGGGCCAGAAATGCTGCTTTCCCCCCTTTCCCTTAAACATCTTTCTTTTCTTTGGGTCCAAGGTTTTGGAGGGAATTCAGAGTCTGTGGCTAAGAAGTTACCCAGACAGGTGCTCATGTCTCATGCTTACACTTCTAGCTATTCAGAAGGCTGAGATCATGGGCTGGGAGGGTGGCTCAGTGGTAGAGCGCTTGCCTTGCATGCATGAGGCCCTGGGTTCGATTTCTCAGCACAACATAAGCAGAAAAAAAAAAGTCTCAGAAGGCTGAGATCTGATGAAGCCAGCCTGGGCAATAGAGTCTGTGAGACTTTTATCTCCAATTAACCAGCAGAACGTCAGCAAGTGGAGCTATGGCTTATGTGGTAGAGCACCAGCCTTGAGAGCAAACAAGCTAAGGACAGGTGCTGAGGTCAAGCCCCCCCCTACCAGAAACAGAACAAAACAAAACAACAAGTCCAAAGTGCTGGCTTGGTTTGGAAGCAGATGAGTGAGAAGCTAAGATTCAGTGTAGTGAATGGAGATAAGACACCAAGATAGTTGGGTTTGAAAGTGCAGGTCCCTGCCCCGTTCTCTCCAAATACTGCTGAAGCAAGGAACAGGGCTGGTAAGTTACTCAGTGGGAGAGCACTTGCCTCACATGCATGAGGCCCTGGGTTCGATTCCTCAGCACCAAATACACAGAAAAAGCCAGAAGTGGCACTGTGGTTCAACTGGTAGAGCACTAGCCTTGAGCTGAAGAGCTGAGGGACAGTGCCCAGGCCCAGAGTTGAGACCCCATGACCAACAACCAAAAAAAAAGAAGAAAGGACAGAATTCAGAATTCCT